CGCACATACATAGAAGACACTCTTACACTCATGCGCGAAGCTGTCACCTCCAACGATAGCAACACACTCGAACTGGTTAAGAGGAAGCGTCTTGGCGATTTTCCGAGTATCTTCACGACGTCGACAGTCGTTTCGATGTTGGCAACTTGGAACATGGGCGCAACAAACTGCTCGTACTTGTGGAGACCAGACTTTTCGTTCGAGTCAACAAGCACGCGAAATTTGCGTAGGGACCCAGAATTAGCTTCCTCCGGCTTCAAAAATGTCAGGTCGATGATATCCTCCTGGATCGTTCTACGAGGATCTGCCCACTTGTTCAGTGCATGGTGCAGGTGAGCCACTTGGTCAATCTCGTCACCGTAGAATCTAAATGTCCACTGACGGGGGCTTCGCTTCGTCGGCTGTCTGTCTTTGTGGTGGTGTTTCTTGTCATCGAGTAGGAGACCTTCTGAAGGACACGCGTACAGTGCTAGCATGTAGACTCGACGGGGGACAACTGAGCGTCGGTTGAGTGGCTGGCCGCATGCTGTCTGTAGGTGTGCTCCGAGAACTTCCTCCCACGTGAGCCTCATGAAGACAGGGTCTTGTGGCCTCTCACCTTCCTCCGTCAGGCTTCCAGTGGTTACGGCCGACAGAGTCCGTTCATGGGTGAGAGACTTGCAGCGGCGTTCCGACACGAGTTCTTTCTTGCGTTTGTGTTTGGACACAATGCGTAGCGTACAGTGCGTCTTGGAGAACTCGAACTGCACGAGCGGGTGCTGCGTCTGCTGTGAGCGTCGATGTAGCCAAGCGAATCGCTCGTCCGGAGCCTGGCAGCTCTCGAGATGCAAATGCTCGAACAACTGGGCGAGCGACATTGGCGATCGCTGATGTGACTGGAATGCAGCAAGTTGGAGAATGCTACGCTGATAAATAGATCGGAGACCCAATGGCGTCTCTTTGTGTTGTTTGCATGTATCGCCTGTGATAGTCGATTGTTTCAAAGCAGACCGTCCACCAAAGGGTCATTTAATTTGGACGGAGCGAGGACGAGACCTGTGAGAACTGATTTTGAAACGGACGGTTTGCAGTCTGAGGCTCACCACAAAGGCACACACCCGACTCAGTGAGTCACTCACGGGGCCCTATACTTGCTATATTGGGAGAACAAGACTTAAACGATATCATCCGTCTGGTCACATTAGCTCGGGTGTTACAATGGAGTTTTAAAAGGTCGTTGGTGGCAGTTGATGTCAAGAGCGGAAAGTGCATACCCTTTATTGTCAAACGCACACGCTTCTCTTCTTGCAGCAAGTTGAAGCGAATCTAAAATTTATATTTGACACAGAGATGGAAAACACGACTCGTTTTCGAAGGCTGGTCAGATAGTACTGCATTATCTCTTTTGAATTAAGATAAGTACCGGTAATGGGAACGAAAATCACGTCCAAGAGTATGGACCATGGCACGTGCAATAGCGATATCTGCAGTGGCTCCTAGATTTCAGTAGGAACGTTAAACGTCACTCTTGACATAACCTAACTTACAAGGCAAGACCGACGTTTGATTGTGGATCGGCAGCGTACTATGACAAAATCGACCTGCCATCACGCTGTAAACGTGAAAATCGAAAATTATGTTTAGACCTTACGATAATGAAGATAAATGAAAGATGACACACGGAGACGATGCCGTTTGGCTTTCACGTATACTTAATGCCGGTATGAAGGATGAACACACGAAATCGATTGCGCTTAAGCTATACGCGCAGACGTTGGAGAGCGGAGAGAAAAAGAATACTCCACCGGTGAACGTCTTCGACTTTCTACTGCTTGGCGGGCATAACCTACTCACGAGTCCGCTCTTGACTCCCTGGCTCAAGTACACGAAAGAATTTCATGCACCCCAAGAAGATGTCACCAATTGCCACAGTATCCATTGGTCTTGGCGACAGAGAGTTAGCAAAAGTGCTTGGGACCGGACCAAATGCTGATAGAACGAAGGACATTGCCACAAAACTGAAGAACTAGTTATTCGCCGAGTGGCGGGCACAGAAGCGTACACCCAACTTCCTATTTGAAAAGTGGCTACTCCTATCATTGGACAGAACAGCCCCGCCACAAAAACGTTGGCTGAAAGCTTGCAATCACTGCTGCTTTCTACATGGCTTGAGAGAAAGTTGAGCCCGTTGGTCCTCCACCTTCGGACGATACACGTGAGCCAATGGACAACTTTTAGTAATGGCTATTCATACAACCCAGTCACTCTGTCTTCCCAGTCTCTTGCTGGCCTCGAAAAGAAAACATGTTGAGTCTTACGTTGTGGTAATGTCGACACGATTGGCTTCTGGGTGTCAAGTTTTAATCGGCGCCTGCAAAGCTGTAAGTTACTTTTGCAATCAGAACTGCTTCTGGCAAGAAGTTGCGCAAGCGAATACGCGCAGCTGAGGGCTGCTGAGGGTGCTCGATAGTCAGTGACTATTACTATTTTCACCGACTATCGAGCTGTCGACGTCTGGTGTATTCGGAGATTTCCACCTCGACGTCCAATAATGCAAATGACGTAAAAAAATACACATTTCGACACCCACTTATGAGCTACTCTTTCGAATTAAGGTGCTGCTGTTCTCACCAAAAGTGGCGTTGTTGGTCATCCTCCAAGGCCGTTTGAAGCTTCCAATCCATCTATTGGTATTAATACAAGCCCTCAGAGGAACACGTCGCACAACAACAATCAGGAATTGGCAGATCTGCAGTGCCCAGAATCAATTACTGTTCCGCACTGGTTTCGTGCATACGAGTGCTTCCTGTCATCTGAACAGGTCCACAAGTTTGGCGTCAAATCAATCTGGCTGTACTGAATTGGCGCTGAATGGGTCTACATTGAACGATGCGCTGGGCGCGGAGTAGATTTAGTGGTCTTGCCAAGATTCATGAGGATCTCTTTAGAAGTGGGAGTCATGCGCATGGTAAACATGGCAGCTAGCAAGCTGAAAAATGGCAGGTAGTTACTCTCTCTCACATAGTTTCGACGTATGGGTGTCGGTGTGGTGCAACGGCGACATCGAGTGCAAAAGATAAGACGTCCGTGCGTCGTCGACGTCGAATCGGTGCCAAGGGTCGCGACGTCGACAGCTCTAGCGTGAAGTCAAAGGTAGGGAGGGATGTGTTCTGCCTTCCAACCAGCTTTCCGGGTTTACTTTTACTTCGTAGATTTCCGTAAAGGCGAGTACTCTATGGTCAGTGGGAGGAGCCCAATATTTCCGGCAGGAGCCCAATACTGACTTCTTAAATGAAACCAAGTGTTCTTGGAGGGGTCTGCGTATTCGGACCCCTTTCTCTTGCAAGTGGACCCCTGGTTCTTGCGCGCACCCAAAACAGCGATCGAAGATATCGTTTTGGGCTGTGTGTCTTTTCACTGAAAAGTTTTCAGTCGACACACCCACACACAATCAATCGGCATTGCTTCTACATCAATTGCTGCCGTATCAAAGTCTAGAGAGACTTGCTCAGCTCTGACTAACCTTTTGCAACGAGTAGCAGAACGGCTATGAGAGACTCTGCTCTTTCGGAAAGGCAGAAGGCTTTCACTTGTTAATCCTTGGCCAGATGTCGCTCACGGCCTTCTCGCGAGCAAACGTCGGTCCGGCAACTCTCTTCGCCCTCTTCTTCTGCAACAGATTGAGGCCAGCGTGAGGAGCGATTGCACAATGCCCGGACTGATAGCTCCCTTCGCAGCCGCGTCGCTCGAGTTGATATTTTCGATTTACTTGCGAATCGCCATGTGGTGATGGGTAGGGCCGAAACAGTTGATCCCAGCCAATCAGAGACCATGGATCTCATAGTTTATATTGAATGACTGGTACAGTAAATTGAATGAGACGAAGG